GCCAATGCTTCATTGATGTTACCAAGTTGACGTTCCAAAACAATCGATTTCATCCACACTTTTTCTGTTCCTTATATTTCCTTGTGTTTAAACAGAGATTTGGTGGCTTCCAAACCCCATCCCCTGACAACGGGATGATGACGAACTTTATAGAAATCGGCCAAGCAAGAGATAAGGTATTAAGCTTGAAATTAGATCAGATATCGGATTCTGTGAGTGGACAGACTACAGTTGACCCTAAAGGTTATTTGACTGATTTAAATAGTGTGGTTATTAAAAGTGATGCAGAAATTGGGTATGTATTTTTTTTTTGGATTAGAATCATTTATTTCTTTAAATTTACATAAGTAATTTGTTTTCAATTTTCATAGTGATATAAAAAAAGCACGTCTGTTATTGAATTCTGTGATTTCGACAAATCCAAAACACGCACCAGGTACATAATTTATTAATTATTAAAATTTTATTCATAATTGAAAATTTTATTCAAATATTTCTTATTTTAATCAATAAATAGGTTGGATTGCTGCTGCTCGTTTAGAAGAAGTTGCAGGTAAATTATCCGAGGCGAGAACCATTATTGCCAAAGGATGTGAGGAATGTCCGAAAAACGAAGATGTTTGGTTAGAAGCTGCACGTTTGAATAATCCTGAATCTGCAAGAACTATATTGGCAAACGCTGTTCAACATCTTCCGCAGTCAGTTAAAATCTGGTTACATGCTGTCAAATTAGAAACTGATGCAAAGGGTCAAAAACAGGTTCTTAGAAGAGGTATATTATTTAAAATATTTTTATATCTAATTTTAATTATTAGGTTTATTGATAATTTTATAAATTATTATTCTAGCTTTGGAATTTGTACCTAATTCTGTGAAACTTTGGAAAGCTGCAGTTAACATGGAAGAAAATCCTGCTGATGCACGTATATTATTAGCTCGAGCTACAGAATTGGTACCCCTATCTGTTGACCTATGGCTAGCTTTAGCTAGATTGGAAAGTTATGAGAATGCAAAAAAAGTTCTTAATCGTGCACGTACTCATGTTCCTACTTCACATGAGGTTTGGATAGCTGCAGCTCGACTTGAAGAACAACAAGGAAATGAGAAAATGACTGATAAAATTATAAATCGCGCTGTCACTGTATTATCAGAAAAAGGTAGCGTTTTGGGTCGTGAACAGTGGTTGCAAGAAGCTGAAAAATGTGAAAAGGAAGGAAGTGTTGGTACTTGCCAAGCCATAGTCAGAAACACTATTGGAATGGGCGTAGAAGAACAAGACAAAAAAACCATATGGATGGAGGATGCAGAAAGCTGTATTTCGCATGGGTCAATAGAAACGGCCAGAGTAATTTACGCTCAGGCTTTGAAAGCCTTCCCTGGTAAAAAATCTATATGGAGAAGAGCTGCATTTTTGGAAAAGTCACATGGTACAAGAGAATCTCTAGAAGAGTTATTACAACGTGCTGTCAGATTTTGTCCTCAAGCCGAAGTCTTGTGGCTTATGGGTGCAAAAGAAAAATGGTTGGCGGGTGATGTAGATGGTGCTCGATTTATTTTAACTGAAGCTTTTAAAGCCAATCCGAATAGTGAACAGATTTGGTTAGCTGCTGTAAAGCTCGAAGCAGAAAATGGTGAATATGAACGTGCACGTATGTTACTTCAAAGGGCAAGAGAACAAGCAGGAACAGAAAAAGTGTGGATGAAATCGATTGTTTTGGAACGTCAACTTGGTAACATCAATGAAGCATTGGCAATGTTGGATGAAGCATTGGTCCAATACCCAACATTCGATAAATTATGGATGATTAAAGGACAAATAGAAGATGAAAAAGGTGAATTACCAACAGCAAGAGTTACTTATACCAAAGCTGTTAAAAATTGTCCGAAATCAGTTCCTCTGTGGATTCTTTCATCGCGTTTAGAAGAAAAGGCAGGGCTACTGATTAAAGCTAGAGCTACTCTTGAAAGGGGTCGTTTATTAAATCCAAAGACACCTGAATTATGGTAAGTTTTTATAGAAAATTAATTTATATAGTAGAGTATTCAATGTGATAAAAATTCTAATTTATCATATTTATAGGTGTGAGGCAGTTCGAGTGGAATTACGAGGTAACAATATTAGTATGGCTAAAGCTTTATTAGCAAAAGGTAAATTGAAATTAAAATTTGTTTGTTATTGTAATTTAATATTAATATTTTTAATTTTATAGCATTACAAGAATGTCCTAGTTCTGGCCTATTATGGTCAGAGGCTATTTTCATGGAACCTCGTCCACAACGTAAGACTAAGTCAGTGGATGCACTCAAAAAATGTGACAATGACCCTATTGTCATTGCGACAGTAGCGCGTTTATTTTGGGCAGAACGCAAAGTGGATAAAGCACGCACGTGGTTCGAAAAGGCTGTAAAAGTTGATCCAGACCGCGGAGACTCTTGGGCCTGGTACTATAAATTTGAATGCCAACATGGAACGGAGGTAACTATTTTAATAAAATTGAGGGTGATTTTTTGTTTATGATTGTTTATTATTCACATTCGAATTTGTTTATTGAACCAGCAACAACAGCAAGATGTAATTACTCGTTGCGTGGCAGCTGAACCACATCACGGTGAACAATGGCAAATTGTTGCAAAAGATATGAAAAACGTTGGCAAGAACGTCGAGGAAGTTCTCAAATTGGTCGCGCAAGTTTTAGTATAGTGATCTTGGCCAATAATGAAAAAAAATGACTAAAATCAATTTCGTCTTTCCGGTTGATTTTCAGAATAGGCTGATCGATTTCTTATAATGATAATAATTCACGCATAAGCTTTTGATAATACAAAAAGTTGGTTTTTTTTGTACATATATTGGGTTTTACTTTCTCGTGTAACATCAAATACGCTTTATTTCAGAGATATGGTACGGTGTACTAAATAATAGATTTAGGTCAATGAGAAGCGATATAATATTTTAATTAGGGTGTTATTGGCAAAAATCAGAATCACTGGACTTCAAGTTTTCACAATATTCCAATAAAATAATCGAGTTTTTTATTCGTAACGCTTAGATCAAGAAATTAAAATTCTTTCAGCTATAGAAGTTGGGATAGAACCGAATTCAAATTATCACTATTGTTAAAATGGAGATGCAAAAAATATTACGAATATAGACGTTCTAATTTGATTTGTGGAAGCAGTATCATTTCGTAGTGTTTAATTCAAAAATAAAGAAAAATAAATAGTATAATGATAATGTAATGTTGTTATCTATGAAATTACACATTTTCTTTATATCGAAATTTATATTGCTTACAATTTTTAAAAATTCTATTCTACTTAAGTTGCGCTGAGATTCAAAATCCACTTAAATTGATTCAGAATCTACAAAATTCAGAATCCACCTACAACATACGTATTTGCTTTTATAATAATTAAGTTTACATCGCTACTCGGACACACTACGCATTAACCTAGTTAATGTAGTAATGTGGCGGCTAGATGATCTTTTGAAGTTGTTCCAAATTTGTACAATATTAGTAGGGTTATATAATACTCCAATTAAAAAATTTAATTGGGACGTGAAATAAAGACTTTACGACATTTTGCAAGTGATTTTTTCAAAAAAAAATTTAACTAATTTGTTAAAAACCTATACTTGAGTTGAAATTTTAAAAACTTTCCCAAATTAACATATTAATCAATCAATGTAAGCCCCGAAAAAAATTTTTGGACTCTGATCTAAATTGTCTAAATTGATAACGCATCTAACCGGATGCATGTGGACTTGCTATAATGTCTGAATCATTAAACTTTTGTTTACGATCTCAATATTTCTCAATGTCAATAACAAATGAACTAGAGATTTCACATGCATGATCAAGGTGGAAGTACTATTATATCCACTTGCACCTTTCATTAAGACATTGAGAAATATATCTTCACCAGCCACTTGAATTCCAACGATACCAAATTGAAGCAGTGATGGAATATGGCAATATCACATAGTATATCATATGATATAGAATCATATAATCATCATGCCATATGATAGAATCATGTTATATAAGTAATATATGACAATTTATACGTATGAGATTGTAATATGACGAGCCATCTAAACCAATGAGATCATTCCAACACTGACATCACCCTCTCTTTTTGAGTTAGTGCAAACAACGCGCGAAGACTCAACAAATGCAAGTTCTAAAATCTTACCTTCATATTTTATCATCGTCATTATTACATCAGGCTTTTTTCCTATTGAGGTCCTGGACACTTGCGAATCCATTTCTTCAGCTCTTTTTTTCTCTTTAGAGTCTTGCTTGCAATGCTCTCGCATTCCGCAATGCTTAGATAAACTCTACCATTTGGAAGATCTCCTAAACTGGCCCGAAGCAAGGGCATGATAATATATGCCCCCTCGCTTTGGGTACTGCGCATTTCACGAGTCGAGAATAGTGCTCGGCACAATCAAACAAAGATTTGAACGTCGCCAAGCGAAAACCAGGAATTGTGAGTTTTCCGAAATTGATTTACAGATCAAATCCCGAAAAATGTAATTTAACACACCATAATATATGTTGTATTTAATCAGAAATCGAATCAGAGAGCGGAGCCGGCAAAAATCGAAATTGCAGGTTTTTGCTTGGCGACACTCATTTGGGATCTTTGCTATCAAAATGACCCTCCGAGGCTATGTTGATTTTGTGAATAAAAATTAAATTTGCCAGCTATCTAGTAATCCAATTTGAATAAACCTTTTTTTATTTTGTAAATCTCAATAGCGATAGAATCTACAAATTAAAAAAAATTTCATTCAAATTGGATAGCTAGTTGGCAAATTTAATTTTTATTCACAAAAATCAACATAGCCTCGGAGGGTCATTTTGATAGCAAAGATCCCATTTGATAATCAAATACTGTGATTAGTCGGACGTCAAACGATCGCAGATCAACCAAAAAATATATAGTATTGGTTGAGCTGCGATCATTTGATGTCCGACTTAATCACAAGTATTTGACTGTCAAATTTTTGTTTGATTGTGCCGAGCACTAGTCGAGAATGCCATATTGTTCCATATTTCTTCTCTATATTAAGGATAGCTAAAAAGTGGACTAGAATCAAATTGAATAAAAAAAAATATATATATAATTTGTTCGTTCTATTCCTCCTCTTTCCATTCTTTGTTGTTTCCAAGCATATTCGGAATGTCGATCTTGTCAAATTGGTTACAAATTCGCCGCATCTCGAAGCAACGAAGATCGCATTTCATATTTTTACAAGGCTCTAAAAACAGGTATTTCAACCTTGGATTAAGTCATTAAAGAATGGAGAATTATCGGGAATAATCGTGTTCGGCTCCGGATTACGCCACGTAAGATTAGAAACATTAATTTCCTTTAAATTTGTTTTGAAGGCATTGTAAAGAGATATATCCGCATCAAGTCATAGGAGATCCAAGTCTCGACCGTAAAACTCATATTTTCGTAATCATAAGTATTCATAGAACCCTCTTGAAAGCTATAAGCTAAAAGACCATCAATACATAATGCACCCTCAATAGTATATCAATTTTTTGAATAAAAAATGAAAATTTTCGTGCAATATCCTGAAAACTCCAACCATAATGGCGTGAAAGTGTTCTTCTATCATAAGCTGATTCATCTGAGAAAACCAACTGATTGGCTCTATATTGAGAGATCCTTATAACAAAATTCTTTCTATCAATTTCATTTCTTTCTTTCGTGGGTTTTGATAACTAATATAATGTTAATTTATTAAAAAATGAATAATATAAAATATATTTACTAAATTATTTTAAAACATACCTGTTTATGTGTATATCCAAGATTATGTAATGCTTTTCAAAATCGTTGAAAAACAAATATTACGGCCTAACCAGAACATTTGTGATTGTAACTCATATAGATATTAGTCAGGCTTTTCTTCCAACAAGATTTCGAGATACTTTAGGTCATTTGTAGTAAATAATCGTAGCCTTCCTATAAGCGCTGCGACCTACAGAAGACTGGCAGATTCCTAGGTGTTTGGCAATCGTACGAATTGGTAAACTATGAAAGTTATGACGATTATATTGCTTTTTTTTTTTAGAAACTGTTCCCTATTTTAACTTAATGTCATTGATGTTAACAAGATTTTTTATTATAGATTATTATAGAATCGCGCGTAAAAAAGAATCCAAAAGAAAAAAAAGTCCCGTAAGTAATCGATTGTACTTTGCAATCCCCAAATCTTAGGTTACATTGTGATGCAGACGCAGTTTCAGAATCGGGAGCTTTTGTTATAGAGGAACGATGAACCCTGCTCTTATTATTATGTTCCTTGTGCGCTGTTACGATATATTCCTATAGCAAGGGTGAACGATTTATGAATGCAGTTTCAGAATCGAGAGCTTTTGCTATAGAGGTCCTTGTGTGCTGTTACAATATATTCCTATAGCAAGGGTGAACGATTTATGAACACATTGTGACATGAAGTTAAAATAGGGAACAGTTTCTAAAAAAAAAGAAATGATATGATTATGTTCCTTATTTGTTGGAAAAATATTACTACTTAATGTCATTGATATTAACAAGATTTTTTATTAAAGAATTCGGCTTCAAGTCCCTGATATAAAACCATCACCGATGCTTAGTGTTAATATATATGAAAAACATCCAACTAAATTTTTGGGCAATGAGATTGGAAATTCAGGGCCCTATGCAAACTATCCACAAGTAATTATTCTATTTTGATTTTACATGTCGGCGAATGTTCAGTAATCTCAAAAAATATTTTAAATAGGGGGTTTGTACAGATGATGTTACACTACCACGTAATAATGAAGGTAGATTGATTAAATTAAATTGTAAATTTACCTAAAAGTTTAAATGCTAAGTTATTTAATTTTATACGTAGGATATGTTGTTGTTTTTTCAACCTGGAATAGAGACGATTCTGGAAAATTCAATGCCTTTGTATACAGTGATAGAAATATAACAATAGAAGCTATTTAAATAATTATTATGGATAATATCAGGTATAAACATAAACAATTTTATTAAAAATATTAGTGTCAAATATGAAGACTCTAATAATAATTATGATTGTATTTGTTTCAAGGTCGAAATTCATAAAAATCTTAAAAACCTATAATAGGTAATTACCAGTAAATTACTGAACGTACAAAGGAAAACCGAATTTTAAACTTGATTGCTAGCCAAAATAATTATCTTAAATATAGCTTCACCACGTATGATTGATAGAATTTATTATCAAAATGAATACATCCTGGTAATTTATATTATTAACTTACTATTTCGACTCCGTATTTTAAATCATTATGATAGGTTTACTATATAATCCTATTTATAACAAAAAAAAATAATAAACAGAATTCACTTTCTTATATCAAGGCTTAGTTGTAATATAAAGAAAAATTGTATATGAACAAATCATATTATAATAAACAAGCCACCATAGCAGCATCACAAGGACCATAATGATATAATCAGTTGTGTTCATAAATTGTTCACCCTCCACTATAGCTTAAGCATTGATTCTGAACTGCGTCGGCATCACAAAGCAACCTAAGATCTGGGTATTGCAAGGTACAACCAATTATTTACGGGACTTTTTTTTTTCTTTTAGATTCTTTTTTACGCGCGATTCTATAATAAAAAATCTTGTTAATATCAATGACATTAAGTAGTAATATTTTCCCAACAAATAAGGAACATAAT